GAGAGCGGCCATTTTTCATTTTTAGGCCGCATTTTTGTCTTATTTTAGTTCGATTTTTTATTTACACATCAGATAACATCTACAGACGTTATAGACTGCTTAATTATCTAACTATCTTTTTTAGCCGTTTTATTGTCTTCAAAGCTTAAAAAGCTATGCGATCTAAAAAATCTAACCAAAATGCGGCCAATTTTTAATTTTTGGCCACCCAGATGGAATCATGAAATTCGTTTGCGGCCATTTTTTGATTTCTGGCCACGTAAAAAATAGTATCCATATGGATCCCGACAATGCATTCACTTGTATGACGTCATTCGAGTGCGGTCAATTTTTGATTTTTGGCCGCATTTCTCAAATATTGACAAAATAAAATATGCTTTTAGTGATCGCTATGGACGTCAATAACGATGGACTTTTGAGTATCATTTTTCCATGTCAAATAATTGATTATACTTTTGCGTATCACTTTGGATCAAAAATTTATTATACTTTTACGTATCACTATAAAATTGGATACTAATACTAATACGCTACATCAAAAATTTTGTTTACTTTTGCATATCATTTTTACGTATCACCATATCAAAAATTTTAAATCTTACTTTTGCGTATCACCGATTTTTATGAGTACAAAATAGTCTATTTCATAATCAAGTACTAGTAGTCTAATAAATTACTACAAAAACATATAAATAGAACCTCTATCCCCCACTTCTTGACCAAAAAACCAATTCGTAAAAAATACACATTTCTTATATCGCTATAAACAATACATTCCCTAGACGAACTGCCAACTTTTTCGAATTCGAGGATGAGGCACGATGTGCCGAAATAGTATTCGTGATCTGGTTTTTCGTGATGCATTCGAATGCCAGCTTTGAGGCATGTAGTGCCGAAACTGTATACTTACCTGGTGTTATCCAAAGGTACAATTTTTATAATATATATCTTTTGTATTAATTATACTTTTGGCTATCACCTTTTTTCTTCAAATTTTTCTACCCATATCCTAATTATCTGGTGTTATCCAAAGGTATATACAATTATTATATATCTTTTGTATTAATTATACTTTTTGCTATCACCAATTATGCACTATGTTTTGACGTATTACCGAACCAAAAATTTATTTGTCTCACTTTTGCATATCACCATATCAAAATTTTAAATCTTACTTTTGCGTATCACCATATAAAAAATAATGATTGCACTTTGATGTATTACTAGATCGAAAATTTGGATCATACTTTTACGTACTACCGATTCGAAAATTTTATTCTTACTTTTGTGTACTACCACATCGAAAAATTCGATCATACTTTGACGTATTACCTTGGCGTATTATGTATTGAGTCGAATACCTTTGCATATATCAATAAATATATCGCCTACCTGAAATTTTACTTCGATCAGAACCATTTTCGGATTTGGACTTCGTAGATTTTTCTTTATTCCAAATAATAAGCTTATGCACAAACCGTATAATTAGTATTGCTATTATTATAAGAATAACAAGCTTAACAATGGGAGGGATTCGATACTTATCATTAACCAAGGTTTCACATACCCCTAATGCCCCAATAGGTAATATCTCGGCCATTTTTGTTTTAGTCGCATAACTTTGATCATTTCCAATGAAATCAGTTTTAGAGATGGCTTCTTCCGAAAAATCTTTAGTCTCTACTATTTGTGAAATATCAGCGTTACTGGTAGAAGACTTCATATTAATTGATCTCGAAGAATCAAGTATTTGAGGCTTTGTCTCATTGTTAGCCTTATTTATGGTATCACTGGATTGAGGTATGTCGATTTCTTCTGTCTGGTCCATACTTTTTTTGCGTAAATATTTACTAATATTTATTATAGGTTTATTAACTGCAAAGATATCATCTGTCTCACCGCCGATCTTGATTGCTTCTGATGATAACTTGGATTCTAAAGAATGTATTACCGACTCTTTTGACACCAGTTCAACCTCCAATTTAGATAATTTAGTCTTGAGGTTCTCGAACTCGGATTCTTTTGTGGACAGTAGACCCTCCACCTCAGATAATTTGGTCTTGAGAGTCTCAATCTCGGATACTTTCAGAGACGAGTTTTCTTGGGCCGATTCCAACTTCTTTTTTAGTGACTTTATCGTAGATTTGAGCGATGTTACTTCTTTCGATTTTATCTGTAATTTGTTGCTATAATCGATAAGAGATTCCTGATTGCGACCATCCCGAGATATAAGTGTAATATTTTCTATCTTTAATCGTTTAGCTTCATTAATAATTTCCAGATTGTGAGCACGCTGTTTCTGATTTTCGTCATTGACTAGCTTTATACCACGACCCCACTGTTTTTTTTCCTTATCCCATTGCTTTCTTTCCTGATTAAAGTCCTTCGTCTGTTTTACGCATTTACTTTGCAATTGTTCATTGCAGTCATTTAACTCGGATATATACCTTATGGTGAGATCTAGAGATTTCTCAAGTTCTTGTTCACGTATACTGCCAAGCCGATGTCCTTTTGAGTTGATATCTTGCAATGTGCGTACATTGGCCATATGGTTTTTTCATATATATGAAAAAAAAAATCAATACCGATATCTGAAAATATTAATAATAGATTTATGTTTAAACATAGCGAGATATGATGAAATATAATGGAACATATGAAAACATTTCGGAACATTTTGAAACTTTTCTGTATGTGCCACAATGTATAAAGTGCAAGAGATAAATATTTCGAAACATTTCGAAACATTTCTTTATTTTTTAGCATTTTATACAAGCTTCGCTAAAATACTTCATTATGGGACGCATCCATAAAGAATACTATAGTGCAAATGCAAGATATCTATCCGATGAGGCAATCCAAGAGATTAAAGAGTCGATGGGTAAGGTACCTGATGCCGTAAATGTAATGGCAAGTAAATATCAAATAAATTACTATCGCGTCCTAGATTATATGGAAAATCGTGAACGCAAACAGCAAATGATATATCCCCGATCAACTCGGACACGAAATGCCATTTCTCCTGAAATAGTATCTATGCCTGAAAATAAATACTTGTCAAATACCGCTTTTCATCTTGAATCCCAGCATCAAAATAATATCTCAGATGGGCAGATAAAAAAAAGGAGATCAAAATCCAAATCCGTTCGCGTATCTGATCCGCCTTCTGATAGTAAAAATTTGACAGAAAAAATAGGCGGTAACTCACAAAGTTCGGTTGTTTCTACTACAGACGTAATTACTCGCCTTGAACAAGAAATAAAAAGAAAAGATAAGAACTTATCCATTAATGCACGTTTACTTTCTACTGCCTAATCCATCTTTTCTTTATTCGTAACAGACTCGAGGAGCTTTTCATACTTTGTTTGTAGAATCTCATTGCGATCATTAAGTTCAGTAATTCCTTTGAGAACGTCGTATAATATTTTTTCGAGTTCCTCATAACTCATACGTTTTTTTTTAACTCAGTATTTGGCTCTTCGGAAATAGAAGGAATTGCGTTGACGTGATGAACCTCGATTTTGTTTTCAACCTTGTGCATCGTAACTGGAATGTAAAAATCTTTCCCATTACAATGAAGCTTCATTTCGGATTTAGGCCAATTCATTATACATTCATGTTTTTCAAGGAAGGGATTACTCAATATAACCATAGACTTGTCATATTCAATGACTGCAAAATCTAAATGAAATACACAACCAGGAGCTAGGGTTAATGGTACGTTATAAACCATTCCAATAGATTTGGTTAGGACAGTGGCCGCCCCCTTGAAATAAAACACCGCACTTTTATCGATTTTTAAACCCAAGCGTTCAGCAATGTCCTTAGACATAAGTAAAGTATTTGAGCCAGGATCGACTGTAATGGCAGAAAGCACTAAACGATTGATTTTACCCCGAACAGTTGGAACATCTATCACATCTTTATCCCGAACAAAGTTAATTTCCATATCTTCGATAACTTCTTCATCCTCAGTATCTTCGATTTGTTGAGAAGAAGTGACATTTGTGGTACTAGATTTCTGAAAATTTCGTAAGATTTTACGTATAGTCTCCTCAAATAAAGCGGAATTTTTAAGCTCGTTTTGGATTATCTCACGAATTCGTTGTTCTAGTAAAGTTGAAGTTGGATTCCCCCTATCCTCTGTAGAATATATATCTTTCTTTTCTTTGTATCGTTTCGAAATTTGCTTTTGCGAGGATATCGCATTGAGTACTTGCTTAGGTCGCTCTATTTTTTTTTAATTCTGTCTACATCAACATTGGAATCTCCATCGGATATATTATCCTCTTCTTGATCGGAAATAGCAAATTCATCGGGGAGTTCTTCTGTATCAGAGTGGCTTTGTTGAAATCCATCGGCAAAATTTACACGACCAGTTTTTTTCTTAGAATTAGCAACCATATTCCTAATTACAGGACAACTACGATAAGTATGGCCCAGCTTTTTGCAAATTTCGCATTTACGTTGGGTTGATCTAGCAGTAATCTTAGATGAATTTGTTGCATTTATTGTTGGCTCTGGTATATTAGATAATTCTTTAATCTGATTGACTTTATTGATAATTGCGTAATCGATTTCCATCGGTTCTAGTACTCTGTTATCTTCAACTTCGAGGCCCATTTCCGCATAATTCTTTAACTCTTCATAGTATTTTGCTTTCTCAGTTTTTGGACGGAAATTTTGATATTCATATATTGGAGGATTTGTAATTCGTTGATGTGGTTGAGATTTCGGTTGCTGAACAATTTGCTGGGGAGGTTGGAGCACGGGTTGCTGAACAATTTGCTGGGGAGGTTGGAATGCGGGTTGTTGAACAATTTGCTGAGGCGGTTGGAATGCGGGTTGTTGTACGATTTGTTGGGGTATCTGAGACATCATCCCATTCATATTATTCGCACTTCCATAATTAAACGAAGAAGGCCTACGTTTAAGCCACAAATTTTTGAGATGAGTAAAGAATGCATTAATTTCCGTGGGATTTGCACGTTCCATCCTGGTGAAAAGTTCATTTGGTAAATGATCCATAATAAATGACAAGGCATTAGCATCGTTATTAGCAACTCCTAATAATAAGGGACGTATCCTAGTCTCATATGTATCTGGTGTATCATTAGGTAAAAATTTTTCGTAAGCTAGCCTCTGGAGAGCAACTTGTTGTGTCCCAACTGTTTCTATCTGATATTTATGACATAGCCATTCGTATAAGCGAGCTGGAGTATCAATATTATTTCCAGCATGTTGATTGGGTACATCTGCATATTTTTTACCCAGTTTGCTCTTCAAGATCGCAACTTTATGAGCATCATCAATTTGTGTTACTGCGGGATATGATAATATGGCATTAATTCCATTATACCATTCGCCAGGTTGAACCTGTCCATTATAAAATTCAACATTTGCAAGTAAAGGTGCAATACCAGTCAAGTCACCTATAGGTGTCGCCATATTTGGTGGATTATTCTGAAGCGCTAAAATTTGTTGATTTAAATTTATAATTATTTGCCTCGAACCTTTTTCCTTATTTTCCCATTTTTTGTGTTTCGCCTTTTGCTTGATATGTTTACCTTTTCTCTTTGCATGCTTTCTACGCCAATTTTGTAATTCAGCTTGACATGTTTGCAATTGTCCCGTCTGGAAATTGTGGGCCTGGTTAAGAAGATCGAAATTATTATTTGCAGTATCCAACCGAGCCTGTAATTGTATAATAATTTGTGCATCTCCCTGAATTTGGGCTTGAAGTTGAGTTGCTTGATTATTCAACCCTGCAATCACCTGACCATATTGCTGATACTGGGTTTGTGCTTCGTCATTTTCCCAGTCAGCGATTTCTTTCAATCTATTTGCGGAACTAGTAATGATATTAAGTTTGGTCAAAATATCTCTCTGATTCAATTGAGAAGATTGTGACCCTCGAAAATGCTC